GCCTGCAGAGCCCGCGGCCCGGCCGTGCGAGCCGCAGCGCCGGGGGCCCGGCCGGCACGCACGTACCTCCCGCGCGGTGTGTCACGGCAGATCCACCGCCGCAAGTTGGAGGAGAGCGGAGGAAAGTTTCCCCGCCCAGCGCTCGCCTCCGGCAGCGGCTGCGCCTCGGCGCAACTACGCCATCCGGGCTGGCCCGGGACTTTCACCTCCTGCAGGGAGCTCCGGGAATCGCGCCCGGAAAGTGGCCCGGCGCGAGAGCGGCGGACCTCCCTCCCTCACTCCTTGGGAAGAGGAAAGTGTCTCTCCGCGTCCCCGAAGCCCTCGATTCCCCCCATCGGGCCGACCCGGCGCGCTCTCGCTCCCTCTCACACGCGCGGGCGGGGCCGGGCAGGGCGCCGCAGCAATCAGCGCGCGGGGGGAAGGGCGCTCTACGCCGCGCCCCACCGGGGGCTCCGGGCGCAGAAACTCCTCCTCCCGCCTCCCGCCTCTTCCCGCCTCCCCTTCGCCTCCCCGGCTGATGGATGAGCCCCGAGAGCGGCTCTCGCCAGCGTTACCCTCGGGCGGAAAAGACAGGACTGGAAAGCAGCAGCTCGGGGCGCCCAGGCTGGGGTGGCAAGTGGAGGCCTCTGTCCTGGGAGAAGGCAGGGGGACACGCGGCGGGAGCCCCAGAGAGTGCGCGCTCCAGCTGGGTACTTCGGACTTCCCAGGACTCTCTGGAGGAGAAGGGTTACAATTTGGTTCCTCGGGCTGGATATAAAAATTCCAAAACCTCACATAAGCTGATGGTACCCTCTTGCCCACTCCCCAGCACAGCCCCCCACGCACACACTCATTCTGCCCCTGTTTGCTTTTTCCCCCAACCTCCAAGCCTGCTTTGTAACTGAAGATTTGCTCTGACGGTGGGCACCAGCGGAGCTGCATCTTCCTGTCTGTAACAACTGGGAAGGTATGACGGAGCAGTTTGCCCCGCTAGCTCAATAAATGAATATAAATAATGAAGCTAGGGCGGTGTTACTGGCATGACCCCAGGTCAGCGAAATATAAACGACAAGTGCACGGAGTAAGATCCCGAGTGCATGTGCCTGTGAACTGCACCCTGCAGGAGGAGCTGAATGCACTCCTGGTTATACCTTGTCTGTCCGTTAAAATACCTTGTCTTCTCCTTAATCACTGGTGAAATGACCGTCAATTCCGAGACCAGACCTCCAAGCCTGACTCTGCCACTGGAGTAACTACGGGACCTTGCACAAATGGTTTGAACTCTTCAGATATCTTTTCACTCTGTAAAATGAGTAGTTTGACTCAGGAGGCTTCTCCCAAAAGTGCCCTGTGGTTCTTGCAAAGTCAGATGGAGAAGCTTCTTACATTATGATTTACGTTATTATTTGGAAAGTTTTCAGAGTTTCCTATTTTGAGAGAAGAGGAAATACTTCTCACCTCTTTCTTTTATATGGGCGTGATCAACATATAAAGTGAATACTTAATTTTTTAAAAATTTATTACTGTAAAAGACACATGGCTGCGTTGCCATTAATACCCCTCAAAACTCACTTTATGTTTTGGGGAGTTTGTGTGTGTGTATGAGATAGGATCTTGCTATGGAGTTCAGGCTGGCCTTGAGCTCACTATGTAGCCCAGGTTGGCCTCAAACTCGCAGTGATCCTCCTGCCTCAGCCTCCCAAGTGTTGGGATTACAGAAGCACACCACCATACCAGGCCAAAACTCACGTTAAGCATACTTTTCCCATGGTTCTTGTCACTTTCTGAAGCAGTTCCAGAAGTCCTCTTTCCTGTCTTTACCAGATATGATCAAAAATACAGTGAACACTGCTGCTGATTGTCATCCTAGAGAAAGGCAAGCTCCTAAAAACACTATTGTGTGTCCTCATCCACTTTATTCATGGGACCTGGCACTGAGCAACTTCTGGCTCTCCCCCAAAGTCAAGATAGTCATGAAAGGTAAATGTTTTGAATTGACTCAGGACGTCAAAGCAGCCATGACAGCACAACCGAAGACAAGAAAGAAGACTCCAGAACTGCTTCAGAAAGTGGCAACATTGACGGAATTAGTGAGCTGAAGTGGGGGACCAATAGTAATGTGTCTTTTACCATAACAATTTTTTCTAATTTAAAAACACACCCTACTTTTCTATCACCACCTTGTATGTGCTTTCCTAATATTACTGTATTTTTGCTAGTAGTTGCTTAAGAGTTTTGCCTGTTTCATGAGAGATAATGGTTTGTAACCTTTCTCATAATGCCTTCGCTTTGTTTTGAAATTAAAATAATACTGACCTCAAATAATTAGTTAGAAAGTATACTGTGCCGTTCTACTTTCTGAAAGTTCCACATGGGTGAAGAATTAATACTATTTCTTCCTTAAATATTTGACAGAATTTATGAGCAATTCTGTCTAGGCCTGGATTTTTTTTTAGAAAGAATTCTAATTATGGATTTAGTTACTTTCATTGGATATTCAGAAGTATATCTTTCTTATTGATGTCTTCCAAGCAATTTTGTGTCTTCCAAGCAATTTTTCCACCTCTTTTTTTCTCCAATCTGTTACTTTTACTTTTTCTAATTTTTTATTAGTATATGTTTGCTCACAATGACTGATCTGAAAACAACAATGTGCAGTATAACAACGATTGTTGAACTCCTACCATCTTGTATGGTGAAGCTCTGCATCATTTCCAATGGTTTTTTAAATTATTATTAGTACTTGTTACTGTCTTTGATTGTTTGCTCAGTCTTACATTCTTACATCTGGTAGACTGAGCAACTTCGCTGAAGATAACAGTATGTAATGTAGCAACCATGGTTAATTCCTATCATTTTGTTTTGAGGTCATGTATCGTTTTTGTTGTTTTTGGTTGTTTTGATTTTATCTTCATTGTTTTTTTATGTTGTTTTGTTAGGTTCTTTAAAATAAAAAAATTTTTTAAAAATTTTAAAGTATATATTTGCCACACATAGTGCCCACATTCATCATAAGGAGTTTGTACCTGTACATAATACATATTAATTCTTTTTTTTCCCATTCCCCTCCCCTCCCTTTAACCCTTCTTCCTCTCCTCATTTACAGATGTTTATAGGAATTTTTCCATTTCACCCATTTTGTGTCATACCTTATACCTATACAATAGTTTGGAGATTCAATTCATAAAGATCAGGTTGTCCTTCCTCAACTGATAATGTTACAAAAACCATTCATACCCTACCAGAATTTGTTGTATATTATGTGAGAGATTTGAGCTAAACAAGCTTTGTAGGCATATCATGCTTTTAATTAGGCATAATACCCCAAAGGAACAAAGTCTAAGTAGTACAGTTAGCCTAGGCTTTTGTATAGTCTCTCTAAATTCAAGGCTTTAAAGATTTTGCTAGACTCAAATTACATACTATTCATGCCTCAAGTTATCAAGTGAGTTTCAAGTGCAGACATGGACACTTGAAGTGGGTGTGAATATTTAATCCCATATTTAAATGCATCAATCATGTTGAGGTTTTTCTGAATAAAATGGCAGCATAAAAGAGAAGGAAACTAAGTTAAGAATGTCTTATCTTTAAAGCATAAACTGTTCTCCAGGGAACCAGACTCACAGTAGTAACCATCATCATCTATTGAACAATTGTACTAGGCAAGAGATAGATGATGGATAGATAGATAGATAGATAGATAGATAGATAGATAGATAGATAGATTGCTGGCTTTTAAACCCTGGGTACTAACTGAGGCTTTATCAATTGCCAAAGTAATATAGTTCACAAGTGGGAAGACCCCCATTCACCTATCTTGGAACCCAACTCCTCAACCACTGGGGTCTGCTACACTAAAACTTTACATATTGGCAGAATTTGGGGGCTTGTTAAGAAAAATTCAATGGCATTTAATTAGTTTCAGTAGATGATGTAGAAAAACACCAAGTACATTAATATTTACAAAACTAACAATGCCTTTGAGGTTTCTTGTTGTTGTTATTCTTTTGTTTTTCTTGTTGCTGTTGTTGTTTTGATGTTGTTTTACATGGGATCTTGCTATAGGAAGAGTTTAGAAGAGAGATTCAAGTGAGGGATAAATATTGCTCACGTTGGTTTCAAATTGGCAATCCTCCTGCCTCAGCCTCCCGAGTATCTGGAATTATGGGGGTGTGCTCCTATGCCCAGATATCCCCTACCTTTTATTAATGGCAATTTTAGTGGATTTCTATAGGGATGGATTCTCTCCTTTTATTAGTTTTCTTACAACCTGGGACTATTTGTTACCAAAAGGTATCAACTTCATTTGGGTGCAAGTTGCATCTTGATCATTTTTTCTGACAAGTTCTTTTATTTTTTTAAATTGTAAGCAGAGGGCTGAAATGAAGAGACACACTTTATCTTACTTACATAAAAAATATTTGACAGCAGAGAGTCTCTGTGATTTACAGAGGCTGTGTCTCTCACAAGGAACCACCTCTCTTCTAGGTGTGGACTCGCTCTTTTACAATGACTCATATTCAGCGGCTGGTGTCCAGATTCCGTTGGCTGGCAGACAACTGCACAGATTCATAATAACTTGTCTGTCACTAGTGCCATACACGGGCTCTACCCTGGCTCCTTATAGAAGAAAATACCTCAGTTTTCCGAAAGCCCATATCATTAGAAAAATCACTTGATTGTTTCTCCTTTTTAAAAGTCCTAATACAGTCTTTAACACATGCTTCACACTTTATAAATCTGAACTAATTAAATCTTGAAGCACCTCTGTTAGCCTTACTTTACATATTAGAAAATGATGCACAAAAAATGTTAGATAACTTGTCTAAGACCACACAACCAAAAAGTGGCAAAGCCAGGCAGCGGAGCAGGCGGCAGCCCGGCTCCCAGGTCTGTGTCTGCGTCTCTGCTTTGTGCTGCAGGTAGAGTGAGCTCCCTTCCACTCCTGCAGCTCAATTCCTTAAAATTTCAAAAGATAAAAACAAAAGTTTGCTTAGGATAAATAGTATTCCACCGACACATAAAAGCAGATTCCTTTCACCCAGTAAAGAAAACTAATGTTAAGTTTGTCTGACACAGCCGGCCTCTTGGAGGCGATTGCACAACTGCTTTTAAGAACGTGTGACAGAATGTGAACCAAATGCTGTTCCAAAATTGTTGCGACAGGATACTGGTCTATAAACTACAACATGTGCTCTCATTTTCTGCTCAGTTGATCCATTATTACAGAGGGATTTACTACTTTTATTTCTAAAGTTCTCTCCTAAAAATTCCAATTCATACTTTCAGAGGTGCTGTATATAATCATAATCTAAGGCTATAATTTAAAACCACATTTTCTATATCTATATCTGAAA